CAAAGAACAGTTCGCATTAACATAATTATAACCGCTTAACATGCCATGTTAACTAACATAATGAAAATTATGTTAAAATTTATTCCCCCAATTTCCATGAATCTTTGGAATCTTTTACAAGCTTTTAAAATTATATATAAAACAATTTTTAAAGTTTAAAATTTCATATAAAAATTAATATTTTAAAGAAATTTTAAATATTTTTAAAAAATAAAAATTCCACACTTTCATTGTCATGAATTCCAAAAACTTTTTCATATTTTTACAGTTTGTGGCCTTTTCATTTCGGGCGCATGTGGTTTAAGCCTTTATTGGTCCTCGAGTGGTTTAACAACATTGGTTATATCCTCCTTATTTATTGCTGTGTGCAGTGTTTCTACTTCAACCCTTTTAAGTGTTATAGTCACACTTTTTCCAACCACTTTAAGGTAAAAAAAGTTTAAAATTAAAGAAAGAAAGATATTTTTAAAAATTCATTATCTCTGGCAGGACTTTGGTTGTTTCATGTGCTATGATGTTTGGTCGCTTAGGTGCACTTTCTGGTAATATGCTGTTTCCGGTTTTCATTGAAATCGGTTGCATTTCACCTTTTCTAATGGTTGGCTTGGTTTTATTTTGTGAGTATAAAACTAAATTACTGAAATAAATTTTATATGTAATTGGTTTATTTTGTAATTTATATTTTCGAAAAAGGCGCTGGAAGCTTAGCTTGTATTTTACCCAGTCCGAAAAAGACGATATTTATTTAAAATATATAGTACATATAAAACTATAATTACGAGATTTTATTTACACGTAAGCATTAATAATCATATTATACTTTTTATACTTTGTAAATGTATAGCTTTTCTGTTTTAGTATTTAATTTTAATCAAACTCAATATAAATTTAAAGTGTAAAATGAATTGCTCAATTGCTAAAATAAATAAAAAAAAAATAAATAAATAAATTATCACATTAAGACCCGATTTCTCAATTGTAACTTAAGTCTCAAAACGGACTTTAGTATGAATCAAGTCAACAAGGCATTCATCGCTGGATTAACTTATCTTAGTATGAAACAATTTTCATGGCTGCGAAAAAGCCATCAATGGACAGGAATACGAGAGATAACCTTATAAATATAGCTTCTGCTTAAATAGTGAACAATATGTACAAATTGTAAAAAAAATTGAATTATGTTTATTAAAATTTGATTCAAACAATATAGTTTTATTTAACAACCACAACTTCCAAGCCATTCACTTGCAGTCCAACCAAGAAATTAAAAATTAAAATAATAAATATCAATTTATAAAAATAAAAATATTTCCTAAAATATAAAAAAAAATTTGAAACATTATTAAAAATATAAAAAAAAATTAAAATTCGAATATAAGATCATTAAGATCCTAAGATCACTGATGACGAGTACTTGGCAATGCTCCAAACAGCGTTGTATGGTCAGCCAAATTTCGATAAATTTTCGATCAAATTTTTGTTGTTGTTTCTTCATTACTGCTCGAACCCTTCTAGTTTTCTTTTCGTCATAAGACGCGTCACACTCGACAAAAAAATCAACTTTAATATAATTTTATGTTATATTATCACCAATATTCGATATCGAATTGACAAATAAAGAAAAAGAAGTTGTCTAATGACACTGATTCCAAAAGATACAAATGAATTTTATCAGATTTATAATTCAATTCAATCAATTCAACATTTATTTACTTCTGAACTTATAGTTGTAACTTATAGTTAACTAAAGTAAACTTATTACTAATTAGGTTTAAAAAGTAAGCGATAAAAACAAAAAAAGTTAAGTTAAATAAATAGTAGGGAAATAATTATAATTATATATGTATATATCTCCAAAAAAAATTTTGCAAAATCTTATTCGTTTATAATAAATTATCTGATTTTAAGACTATTTATTATATATGTGAATATTGCTTTAGATGATTGCGGATCAGTGCAGTTGAAAATTAGAGATTTATTGTCTCTGAAGACTGTCTCTGAAGAAACTAAGATGGTGATCTCGTACTGAGGAGTAAATAGGGCACTCAAACATAAAGTGAGTCAACGTTTCAGATTTATAATATTTCAGTATTATTGTTTCAAAAACCTTAACAATTTTAATCTTTTAATTTAATGATATAAAGAGTCTTAAAGAGTGTTCGATATTTAAAAAACATTATTATAAACGTCTTTCTAATCTTAATAAACTTGTATAAGCAAATTAAAATAAATGCTTATAATTACTATTAAATCTAAAATATACATTTTACTCTACGATCGTAAACTATCTTAATAGGTATTTTTATAATCTTTACGATGTGAATAATATTTTTGAAAAAAATTTATGTAATACTCATACAATATGCACGATTATCATGCAATATGCATTTTTATCTAAAAACTAATTTTGTTCCCTTTTTTAGTTTAATTTTACATTATAATTAAATAATTCATATATAATACTGAGTAATCATATAAACTATAAAATGGTTCACCACTTTTAAATAACCATTGTAAACGTAATATTTAAGCTAATAAAAAATATTTATTAATATTTATAAAGCGTAGAAATAGTTTGAAGTTAAACACACATCAGATGTAGATAAGATTCTATAAAGACCTATTTAGCATGGAGGTGTACTTTAACTTTACGAAGTAGAACAGTTCTTGCCGACATATTAGTCATCCCGTTCTCTGAGAAGTATCAATGAATAATTAAAATACATTAAAGATATGTTCTTGAAGAGAATACTAAAACCCATAGTCAGTTACAACCGTTAAGAACGGTTCACCTGTACACATTAATAATTTAAAATATTTCACCATTACTAATATGGTAAATATCGCTGTGTAAATCAAATAATGGAGCAACTAGAAACTTGAACTTGAATCTTAATAAGGCTGGGCAAAGTCACAACAAGTTTTCCGATATCTCTCTCAAGCGCAGGTAAACATGTTTTACAAGAGTTTGAGATGGGCAGGCTTAGCTTGGCTCCGTATCATTCTATAATCTAGTGTTACATTAGAGCCGATGTTAGCTGAAATACTTGCGATTTACAAGTACTTTTATTGATTAAATCATATGTTTCAAATATGGAGCATAAAATTATTAGCCCCAATTTCTGTTAACCAATCGTAAAAAGTGATCTTAAGTCAAATTTCGTCTGCGGATGGCTGGTTTGGTTTAGCCTGAACCTGGATCAATTAGAAGCAGGAATGGATACGGGAGGTTCAAATTTAAGACACCTCAACTCTAGCTAGCTGACCAGTGTGCTTATTCCATGCTACGTCCAAGAGCTCAAAACAGTGTTGCCTTGATACTACTATCTTATAAGTAAATAAATCGCCTTTTTCATGAACTATCTTGGACAAAATATAGACTGCTTTAATAGCTTTGACATATGTCTGACTGTCAGTGAAAAACTGAACTTCCTTTTTCTTGAAATTCATGTTTGCTGCAAAAGTATTTTAAAAGGTTTTAAGTATGGCGAAAATTTCTGTCTGAGATATTGAAGTGGAGTTGCAAAGGTGGTGAAATTTAAAAACTTCTAGGTATTTACAACGTATTTGCAATTAAATTACATTAACTATTATAGGTATTTCCATGAAAAAAAAGTATGCTCTCGCTTCGAATTCAGTATTAACAGTAAATTTATCATATAGAAAAGAAACTATCATTAGATAGCATAAATGTTAATATCTTAGTTGAATTTCATCATGTAGTATTTATGGACATTTTAGTTTGATGGTAGACCTATAATCACATCTCGTTAGTGTGAAATTTGAAAATGTTGTCGTTTACTATCAAATTAACATTTTTGGAAAAATTTCAATTACTTTTTTAAAATAAAAACATATTTATCTTATCAATTTTTTTTTCATTTCTTACAAAACAAAAATATTTCGTTATTGAATGTGTATTTTCTACGATTAAAGCTCGTAATGTATCTTGTATCGTTTTCATTCAATGAACTTGAAAAGTAATTCAATAGAAATTCAATTATTTTTATATAACAATCATTTAATATATAATTAAATCTTAAATTTAATTATAAAACTCATTCTACTTATTTAAGACTATTCAAGTAACAATTTTCTCACTCGAAGCTATATCTGTTTATAGAGTTCTCTAGCATTATACATCTTGATTTTGTTTACTTCACTGACGGTAGCGTCATCTCAGGAAGTTTAACTTTAAAAGCACACTCAGCAAAACATTTTGTTTGATTTAACCAGATTTAAACTAAATCTCAGGTCAAAATATTCTCACTCGACACATATTGACTCAGCCATACCACATGTTGGTTTTCATATCTTCCTTACCACATCATCCAAAATAAATCTATTAAATGATCTGGTCAATTTAACAAGTATGTGGTTAGAGCATATTTTCTGGATGCATATAAATATATATAGCATAGATATATACTATATAGCGTGATATGTATTCTTCGAATTAGAAGATATTTTAGGTTGAGATAAAAAGTTATACTCATTAAGGAAAAGAAAGAATTAAAGTAAGATAAGATTAGGATTTTCAAAATTGCATTTACAGATAAGTAAGAGTCGCCGTGTGCATCTTCCATAAAGTTCTTATAGCAAATATTTACCAAAATACTTATTACATTTATTATTTTATTCTTAAATGTTAGATAAACTAGAGACTAGCAATCATATTTCATACATTGATTCAAACGTTAGCAAAGTTTGTCTATCTTTAGTAAAATACTGAGTGTCGGCGCGAGTAGAGTATCTAAAACGCTAACTCTTAAACTTAAATAAATTATAATTATTTATAAAATAATAGACTTTTTATAAATAAATTGTTTTGAATATATATTTTAAAATTAATAGCAAATATTTGTATTCGATGTTTCAATAAAATATACAAATAAATATATAAAATATATAAATATATAAATTCATAAAAAAAAAACCTTCAAAGAAGAGTGCTCTGAAATCTAAAATAATTACATATTAATTAACAAACCAATTTAAAATTCAAATTAAATACTTTATACATAATCCATAGGAAAAATTAAAATAAAATGGTAGCTGTCCAAAAATCTGATGATGAAAATGGTGAATTGAATAATTTTATAAAAATTTTTACATTTCTTTTAATTAACCCATAAATACTTTTTTCATAATACTCTCTAATACAAAAATAACTGTGTTAGTATGTAAATAGTAAATGTTTAAATGTTTTCGAAAAGATTTATTCGAGAAATATATATCTTTTATTAAAGATGAAAGATAAATGCAAACTAAATAATATTATCTGAAATGTTTTCATGTTTCTAATGCTGTTATACGAGGGCTGGATTTCAAGACTAGAGCCCAACAAAAAAAAACAGTGATTAATAAGTGAAAAGGGTTTCATTGTTTCACAAAGTATTCTCCATGATAATCAATATATTTTTGTATTCGATTGAACCAATTTTTGAAGCAGTTTTGTCACTATAAAGTTAGTATATCCAAAACCAAGGTTGTAAATGCGTAAAAAAAAGCTCGCCATGCCTTTTTTTTTCAATGTTTTAGAACAAGTGGAACTCATTGAATGCCAAGTCGGGAATATGACCCATCAATTTGACGTTTTGAGTGCACAAAATCTTTTTTATTTGAGCCAATGTATTGGAACCCGCATTGTTGTGAAGGAATATGATCTTCATTCACCGATTAGTTTTCCTCTTCCTTCAGTGGTTGGTTTTTCTCAATTCTTCAAAGACTTCTAGCAAACCACTCAGGTTATTCAAGAAGTACAGTTGCGACATGAACGGTTTTTCTAAAAAAACATGCTGCTTTTTGCTTGGATTTGCTCCGCATATGCACAACTTTTGTTGGGTTCCGCTCACTTTGGAAGCCTCACACATTAAATTTCTATTTTGTTTCGGGCTCATAGGCAAAGATTCATGATTTATGATCTGTCACAATGTCATAGACGTGTTTGGAGCTACCTCGACCGTATTGTTTTAGCATTTCCTTGCATCAATCAGCACATTGCTAATTTTAAGCTATTGCTAAATTATGGAGAATCCAAAGGGAACAAAACTTTCTGATAGCTAAATGTCTATGTCAAATTGAATTTATGCTGGTCCCACTAATTTCCAAGAACGCCTCTATATCCTAGTGTGTGACATGCCGACACATCTCAGTCATTTCTCGCACTACATCGTTGCTTTCTGATACAACAGCCCTTCTTGAACGACCTTTACGAAATGTGTCGCGGAGAACACGACGAATGCGAACTCGTTGAGCAAGCGTTTTACAGTCTCTATATGTGGTGTTTCATCACCAAATATCAAAGTAAGTTGATCGATGTATTCTTTTCTAGTTAAAACGCATAAAAAATTATTAAATATCGCACGAAATTGTTCTTGGTTGACGATGCTCTATAATATAAGTAAATAAAGCCGTCTTGTGCTTAATCCATACTACGAAAAGTATGAAAACTTTAAGCAACTTATAAATAATGATCGATTTTAATCCTATTAGCTTATAGGTAAGTCTTGCTACTCCTTCATCATTTTTTCTAAGTTCAACTGCTTTAACTTAAGCGGAACCAACTCATTATTACGGTTCTGAAAGACCTTTACGTTTTAAAAGTTATGCAATAAGACTTGGTCTACTTTCTGACGACTCATATTGCGGTGATAGCTATTCGAATGAGAAGGAAAATGAGTTCCTCCTGATGTGTCAGTGATTATCATTGACCAAAAGAATATTAAAAATGGGACTGTCACTTCTTCTCGAATACACACTCTTTTGCATTAGTTGCTTCCGAGCTCTACCTTGACGATAATGCTTCAGGCCTGGCATACGGACGGTATCTCATAAATAGCAGCATAACAAGCTATTATTTGCGCTCAAATGAGCTTTGATTCACTAAAATGCCACTCCAACCTAACCTAACCTAGTTCTAATCTTGTAGTTTCTGTACAACACTGGGAAATAATGGGGTTCTAAGATTCGATTATCCGATTTTTTTTTTAGATTTTAATCTTCAGGATTTGTAGCTACAACGTTTTAACTAGCTCAAGCTAATTATTTAAACTAATATTTAATAATAGAACAACTTATTACTTCAAGATATCTAAATTTTCATATTAAATCTAATTACTTTTCAATATTTGTCTGAATAATGATATTATTTCTAGAGAAGCTCACCGAAGTTGACTTTGAAACCGCCATAGACTTATCTGGATTTGGTTTATTCAATTTAATTTGCTTGCTGGTAGCCATTCCGGCGAAATTTGGAGAAATATTCGAAACTACCACAATGTCATATATCCTTCCAATTGCAGAATGTGATCTTAAATTAACATTATTGAACAAAGGAGTTTTGAATGCAATGAGCTATGGTGGTATGGTTGTGTCTGCTATGATGTGGGGCTTTATCGGAGATAAATATGGACGAAAAAAATTACTCATATTTGGTTACTTAGCTAATATGGTCTGTGTATTCTGCAGCTCATTAAGTCAAACCTTTGAGATGCTTGCAGTATTTAAATTTCTTGGTGGATTTATGTGAGTTGAGGACTATTTATCATACTATGTATATGATCTTTATACATAAAGTCACGCTCTTCTTTTATTAGAGTTAATGGACCAGGCGCAGCTTTATTCACATATATAACCGAAGTTCATGGTAAAAAGTATCGTTCCCGTGTGCTTATGGTTATGGGCATAATAATTGCATTATCAAATATTGCGATGCCTTGTCTTTCATTAGCCATTTTCCCAAGAGATTGGAACTTTGTGTTTTTTGGAAGTTTCAATGGTTAGTTTTGGAAGTCATATTACTTTTTAATAAAAATATGTTTATAAGAATTTCATTAATTTATAGTACATTCGTGGCAAATATTTTTGGCAGTTTGCAGTTTACCGTGCCTGATAAGTGGTCTGCTTTTTACGCTTATGCCCGAGAGTCCAAAATTTCTAATGGCAAAGGGTCGAAATGAAGAAGCCTTGAATTTATTACAAAATATTTATCACACAAATACAAGAAAGCCAAAAGAAACTTATCCGGTAGGTATTTGATGTAATATAACTAAATAATTAGCTAACTAACTAAATAATTAGTTTATAGTTCACCACTATTGAACTAGGAAAATAAAAGCACAAATATATTATTTTTGTAGGTAAAATCTTTGGTGGAGGAGGTACCTAATAGTGATGAGAGCTCTAATAGATACAATCCAAATTCAAAGGACAAAGGAATTTTACAGGCTTTGCGTGTAGGTTTCTACCAAGTGAGACCGATGTTTCATAAGCCATTATTGAGACATTCCATACATGTCAACACAATGCAGTTCTTACTATTTTTCGGGTGCGTGTAACAGTTATTACCTTACCTCCTATTCTTTTTCCAAATTCTGCTTTTCAGTTTGAACACAATACGTCTTTGGTTACCACAATTATTTTCTTCTATTGCGGAATACGAATCTTTGCATCAGAATACAGATGGTTCGGCGAATATGTGCAAGGTCTTAGAATTCAATGTAAACAAAACAGCAGCGGTTTTGGAGCATACGGGAACTTGTGAAACTGTAGGTTAATCATTTTTTTAAGCTTTAACCCAAATACAAAAAATATTTATTTAAACAGACACCAGATATTTCATTGGATATGTACATAAATAATATTATAGTCGCATTCGTTACTATGACTGCTTTTCTCTTCGCGGCCGGTGTCGTAAATCTACTAACACCCAAAATACTATTATGTAAGTAAGATTAATTCTGTTAAAAAAATTATTTATATAAAAAAAACTTATTTTTATAACATTGAAAGTAAACAATTTACTCACCGCCTAACAACGAAACGCATATACATTTTTTAGATGCATATCAGATCTTAGCAACATGTTGCTAATATCAAATGAATCTATTACGGAAATGTTGATAAAATGTGATATAAAAAAATTATTTTCTAATTAGGATTATTTATTATTTTTCATCATTAATTTTAAATTTTTTATATATAGTATATCACATATAAATATAATGAATATTTCAATATAATATCCAGACTGTATATAATATATACCTTGGCCTATATACAAGCAAGATATATAGTGTGTGTGTTTATAAGAAAAATTTGTTAAATAAATATATATAAAGTTAATTAGTGAAAAAAAAATTAACAGCAATTTGTTACTATATAGATTCAAATTAAAATGAAACGAAAACTTCCAACGAAACTTGAAAATTCCATTCTCGGATTCCTTAGTATTTGAAACAATTTGTGATTGGAGACCTAGACTTATCAGAGCAAATACCAACAAATTTTTAATTTTTGACAATTATATGTAATATAACGATTTATAGTTTAGTATAGTTTTTACTATAATTTATCCGGGTCTTAGAACTGAAAACTATTTCGTTCTGGTTTTGGCGCCAATTCCTTATAAAATGGTACAATTCTGGTTTACGTTGTTACAAAAATGATGACTTTATTCGATTTTCGGATCAGTTCCGATTCAAACCCATAAGTTAAACCGAAATAGTATCGCTTTGAACAGAACTCTAGATATAAAGCCAAAATAAACCGAATTTTGATCCTCCCCAATAGTTCGAAATGTTAAACTACTCAACCTAAACACTTCAGAAACGTACAAAGCTCCCAATACTGATTTAAAGACAACATTACTATTATAATCCTTAGAGCCGATCATTTTGCTTGATGTCAATATAAACAAAATATATGTTTAAAAAAAAATTGTGTGTGGAACCAATGTTAAGGATCGACTTCGTAGTCATAATAAAGTCTCAATACTTGAGTATGATTTGAGTCAGATTAGTTAATAACTTATGCACAACTTCATTGACGCTAACATACCAACTAAGAAAGCCATCCTTAAAACACATACATACATATTTAAATTGTTATTAAAATAAATTTTTTATTTTATATATTTTTTTTATTGATCTGTTTTACAATAGTAATTGATTATTTTTTCAAATTTTTAAATATTTCCTCTAGCTATTTGTCTAACAATATCCGGTACTATTGGCATAAGTCTCTACTGGTCCTCAACTGGGCTATCAACACTAATTATAGTCTGCGGTTTTATGGGTGCGACTAGTATCTGCACATCAGCATTAATGAGCATCGTAGTTACACTTTTCCCAACATCCTTAAGGTGAGAACTAACAAACTTGAAATCACTTAATCAAATCTTATATATTCCTTTACAGAACCTTGGCAGTAGCAACTGCTATGATGTTTGGTCGTCTGGGTACATTTTGTGGAAATATGCTGTTTCCTGTTCTTGTTCAATTAGGATGTTATCCACCATTTCTGGCAATTGGATGCGTTCTTTATTGTGCGTATATCATTGTTAATATACAATTTAATAGTTTTTATAATTTTAACTTAAAATAGGTGCTACAGTTCTATCGTGTCTACTACCAAGCTCCAAGAAGACTGTTTTTATTTAGAGAACAAACATATATTATAGAAGAAAATACTATACACATTCGTTATAATTTTATAACTGTTCAATTAATTATTCAATTAAGTTTATTAATTCGGATTAATTATTCGAAGTAAATATATATTTTGGGTAATATATATTTTATTTATAACACTGGACTCACAACTAATAATAGCTGTAGATAAATTGATTGTGTAAGATAAAATAACTTTAAATAGGTTACTAAAATATATCTGTTCTTCTTTGAGAATCTACAATATTATATCATACTATATAAAAATTTTAATAGGAGTGAATAGAGATACTACTACTAAGAGCGTATCGAGTAACAGCAACAGGACAGCACTGATATTTATTTGAAGAATAAAAACTAATATAAATGAACAGAACAAATACACCGCCTATTGGTGATGTTATTACTTTAACGGAATATAGTAATAATCTTTATCATACTCGGGGTAATAATAACTTCCATTGAGAGTTTAGCCATTTTAAACGTATATATATCGTAACTGCAATCTGGATTTTCGTTAGTGTAATTATCTCAACGCTGATTGTGTATTGACACTAAAAAATCTTTTTGTTGAACCCAGCTAAATAGTTAGTGGTAAATAATCACAGTTTAAAAGTCAATTCAAGTATAATACTACCATTGATTATATTGTTATTATTATTAATTTTGAAGAATCTGGCATTGTGATGGAAAGATCTGTTGTGTCTCATCAATTCAAATTATATTCGTATGTGAAACCAATTTTCTAAATAAATTACAATATTTAACTTGCTTTACCGTGTCTAATTTGTTTATCTAATGTTAGATGCTCACTTAAGAACCTTTTTCATTCCAGATATTTAAAAACCTTTTTCGTTTTAGGTATGTAACAAGACTAGATATTTAAAAAAAAGCACTAATTTAATTAGGAATACAATATTGGAAATAATATAATTTTTACTACATAAAAATATAGATATTGTTTACATGTACGAGTTTCTTTATATCAATGAACTCAAATAGGTTTTCGTAAACAAGGGTTTCCAAACTGACCGAGATCAACAACAATGAAATAAAATTAAAAATGTTTAAAATGATTAAAAACTAATATTTCTACAAGTATTGAATCTCAGATGAATACGATGACCAAAGCTACTTCAATGTAAATACATAATTATAAATTATTTGAATTAAAAATAACAAAGCATCTTAAGAAGGAAACTTAATGAGTAAGAAAAGTCTTCTCATAATTAGTATAAAAATAACAATATATTAATTTTATATAGTACCGTGATGATGACTATAGAATCTAGTCGAAATATCGATTCAAATAAAAATTTTTTAAAAAAAAGTTATTTAAAAAAGTGTATTATTTAACTACTAACTAATTAACTCGTTAACAAAAATTATTATTAAAATTATTTGGGCATTAAAACAATTAATTATTTTAGAATATATAATTTATATTTTTTTCTCTATAATACAATCTCATCTCAAGACTATGGAAGTAAGGCGAGAATTTTTTAATTATATGCAATGTTATTATAATCTAAATCCTTGCGGAAAGAAACTTAATGTTAACTTAATAAATTGTTTTTATAAAATAAAAATATAAATCAAATGATCAAATTGACTGATGATTCAGCCACAAAAATATGTAAATTAAATGACAATTTGATTATGAAGAAAGGCGCTTAATTAAAAATAATATACTTTAAACCGCAATTAAACGTAGTGACTTATTGGAAAGCACCAAGCAAATTATCTCAATCCATTGCATCGAGTACCTTACACATAATTCGGTCAAGGTGATAACTATTATCAGCTGCATTTCCGCCTCGTACATCCTTAGCGTCTGCTTCCGCTTTGATATTAATTTTAGTGTCGACTTTCTCTTCCTGCAGTTCGGGTATAGCAGCAAAGGCTGAATTGACTATCTCGCGCACACGTTCCAAGTGCTTCTGGAAACGATTCATTGTCTCAACACGTTGGCGTTTCTGCATTTCCATCATAACACGCAATGTTTCTCTCGCCTGATGTGGTCGAAACTCATTCAGCAAATGATGCATGTGCACAAAAAGAACACTCAGATCCTCAATCTATAACATAAATTCAAATAATTATATACTAGTTTATATACCTTTGTATATATAGTTACTTACCTTTTCTGTGCGCCGGGGACTGTCGGGAAATTGTATTAAAAAATCAATTAAATCCAGAAAATTCACAAAAAGCGAATGATTCAATTTTTTGAGTTCTTTGCGACGATCGAAGTGTATTGGTATGAGACGCTTAATGTTCTGAGATTCCAGTGAACGTATCATTTCCTCATTGTTGTACTGCACGCCGAACATGCTGTAGGTGTCTGAAATGGGTGGCGGTGGACGAGGTGCACGATTTCGACGTATATTTTCATCTGTATAGAGATTTATGTATTGCGTTGGCGGCAGCGGCAGGCTTATCACCCGCGTCACCTCCGGATTCGCCATGTCTATGGATGGAATTTTTGCAATTTTTTTAACACACGGTACAGAGAAGAAATTTCAATTGCTTTTTTTTTATTATAAATTTTATGATAAACACTCTTAATTTTATATTTGTTGTTGATTTTTGTTATTTGTAAAAATTCCTGTTAATTTTTAAGACGTTTGCAATTTGTTAGCAACTTTTGTCAAATTTAGCGCATATCTCACTTGTGTGGATAGGAAAATGTTTTTGAATAAAATTCAAGGTCTTTTTGATTTGTGCAACATAAGGCAGCTTTTGATTATTATGGCCGTGTGCGGGTGCGAGTAAATTGAAATTTTTTAGGAATTTTTCGCACTGCACTTAAGTAAATATTTATTTATTACACTTATTTACTACTTTTGGTTAGAAGTTTTTAAATTTACTTATTTATTTATTAAATATATTATAAAATTTTCACAATGGCAACACCTAATATACCTAATTTTTATCTCATTTACCATATTCGAATGTCTGCTAACATTCATTGCCATACCGACATACTTTACTATTTCGGATTTTGCTCATTATAGTCATTAATGAGGATGATTTAACATATACAAATCTTTTATATAAATGAGCTTATTATCAATAAATCAGCTGATTAGAGGCGGAAATTGTCGAATGCAATCTTTAAAAATAAATTTCCCACACAGTAAATTAAAAAAATTTTAAATAAATATTTTATGTTTTATAAGTAAGATGTAAACAAACAACATCAGAGCTGTAAACAATGGCACTGAGGAAGCAAGTATTTAAAAAAAAATCTTTTGTTTTTAATAATCATATATATAACTGATATATATTTAACTCATATATATAAAATGTATATAAATGATTTAGGTCGTGTGCGAGTTAGGCTAAGTTGCGTTCTAAATGAGGGAAATTTTAAGTTGTGCCGATAATGTAGTGATGTGTCGATACGTGTTGATAAATGGCTAAATGTATGCAGTGCAAAAAATCCCAAAAAATTTCCCATTTGGTTTAGCATCAACTTAGGCTAACTCGCACACGTCCTTAATATAAATGTTTTATAAATGAATACGAACTATGTTTGAAAATGAAAAAGTAAGTGAAACTAAGGTCGTGTGCGAGTTAGGCAAAGTTGATGCTAAACCAAATGGGAGATTTATTGGGATTTTTTGCACTGCACACATTTTGCCATTTATCAACACGTATCGACACATCAATACATTATCGACACAACTTAGAATTTCCCTCATTTGGAACGCAACTTAGCCTAACTCGCACACGACCTAAATGTAAATAATGCGCCGATAACTGATTCGACACTTCGAATTTAATATTTAGCAAAATCAAATATCCTGATGTAATGATTTAACACTTAGATTTAATTTATTTAGCATGCTAAATTTATAATTGTAGTATTCATTAAAACTTGCAAAGTCCCCGTAAATTTCCTTAACTGAGTGACTTATTTAAACTTCCTTCGCTAAATGTTTCATCGTCAGATGTTTTCTTATCCCAGTTGTCATTTTAACTTAAATAAAAATAATTCATGAAGAAAGTTGCTTATAAAAATAAATGAAATTTATTAAAATTAAATAAAATAAACCAAATTATTCATTTATGATATGACTGATATTAATGTAAAAAATATAGTTTTAAATAAAGATATAATACCAATTAAGGAAGGAAACGCACTTAATTAATGGTTTTGATTAATAAATAATTAACCAAAAATATATTACCATTTCGATGAAATTTTAAATACGTATGTAATTACGTTTTTATTATTGCAGAAACATTTTACATAGTTTCTTTAAAATTTGAATTTTATAATTTCACAAATTTGTGTCTTAAAAAATAAAAATTGTACCTAAAGGGTTAAATGAGTTAATTGCACAATGTCAGAAATTTACATGTGTGTGTAATGAAACTGGATTTATCTTACTTTCCAATTGGAATTTTATTTATATTTCTGACATACAGATGGCGCACTATCGTGGTGAGTATTCTTTATACGCGCTGTTATTTCTTGAAAATGCAAAACAATTTTAAATTCAAAAATTATTTCATAAAATTATTTATATATTTATTAAAATAATATAAAATTTATATCAGTATTGATATAAATCACAATATTTTTAATATATGTATATTTTTGTTATAATTTTGTTAAAAGATAATAAAAACGTCTCGAAGTCTGACAAAAAACTAAATTCAAATAAGAAATTTGAAATTTTTTATTATCTACAAATTTTTTATTATATAATGCATATAATTAGTAATACATAAATCGTATATAGCCAGATTATAAATTTACAAACAAATATTTTTATCATAAAAGTGAAATCTAATTTATTTAAAATTTATGCATCGATGTAAATAGTCCAATAATAGTACTTCTTCGATGATTATAATTGCTAGAAGGACTTAATTGCATTATAATGTGATATAAATGCAAACTTATAGACAACACTTTTTTATATACGAGTTTACTTCAAATGAAGAGGATTGCTGAGAGTAATGCTCAAAGCACAATTAAGCAATTATCTCCTACTGCAGTAGTTGACGACTCTCATTGTGGTCCGAATATATAGAATACGGTAGCTATCGACTGTACCTTAATTGTGTTCAATATATAAATAAAAGACCACGCCTATACCATTAAGCTCCATTGCGATACCAAATCAGACTCTTGATTTTTCAGCGATAGTGTGCATCGCTTAGGATGCGCGTCTTATTAGCGAATTTTATTAGGATTTCAACAAAAACCTCAGGTATGTGCTCCAGTCCTCGCAAATAAACAATACAAAAATTTAAATTCAAACCAAAACAGCTGATCCTTACATCAACACAAATTTTACTTGAAATAAAATGTGCGAGTAGCGAGTAGATAATAGATAAATAAATGATAATAATTCTACTATAGTTAAAGCTTAATGTGGGACAGGGATAAGTCCCCCAGCCACAAAAGAGTAAAAGTGCGCAATAGCAATAACTCAAATCACAACAACAACAACAACAACCTGACAGGGATGTTACGCTCTCTCAGATGATCTCATTTACCCAAAAATTTGCTAGTGGAACACACTTGTGTATACACAGTGTTACGGCCATGTTATGCAGAGAATTATAGTCATTGTAATAATTTGCTTCTAAAAGGTGCAAATTTTGAAATTTATTACTAAACAAAACTGTTTTGCCTTAGTGCCGGGGTATAAATACGCCAGCTCTCATGCCGGAGTTTGAACGGCCATATTGTATTTTCTCTCATTCTCAAATTTAAAATTTGCATTGAAAACAACAACAATTGTACTCATGCCGTGCCCGAGACACTCTGCAAAACATGGCCCTTACTCAAAGTTACTACGAGTAGCTCGCGGAACAGACCTATTGTAGGGCAATAGGACAATTTTTAACTAATGTTCTCGCTCCAGAACCTCACGACATTGTTTGCATAGCATTATTATTTTAACGCAATGTACTTTCAGATTCTTAGACAGTTGGACGAGGACCTTCAATCTGACTCTGTGATTAAAACGTAGTGTTCGGTCAGATTCTTTAGCAATTGGGCGCAGTCGTTAAAAAAAATACAAAAAGCTTTATAAGTAAATTTGTTTATAAAATCAAACAACTTCTCAACTTGATTGTTCAAATAAGAAGAAATTTATTAATTTTAAATTATTATTACAGTGCGTATGTTTCACAAGAAAATCACGAGTACCAACAATTTAAAGGGCGACGAGTTGATCATGCTATATATACGGGAGCGAATACATACGATTATGTTACTTATAAAGTAAGAGAACGTAAATTACCCCACGTGTAGAAAAATTAAAAATTCTCATATACACTATTAGCAAGATGAGGGTGTGTGTATGTGTGTGTGTAAAATAGAAACTCACCACGCGCGTAGATAAGTGGTGCACGCTCAGGTGAACTTTTTAACATTCCAACAACTCGCCATGTTGCATTTATTGTGAATGTAGCGTCTCGGGAAGATCAAAACACAAAATGGAAAAAATAAATACATATATATATAGAAAAGAAGCTGAGAAAAAGGAAAACACTGAAGTGTAATAAAAACAATCATTTTAAAATATTTTCAATTAAAAAATATGCCTCAAGAAAGTGTCTGCACAATACGATATTTGGAAAACAGTGAAATTAGTGAAGGCATCAGTGAAATGCACATTGCCAGATAGAGTCGTCGCATGTCAGGCCAGAAATCAATTCACATTTTATTTTACATTCAATTAAATATTGTTTACATAAGTCCACACGATGGCAACAAATTGTAAGTAAATTGTAAATTCTAATTATATTCTCACAAGTGTGAAGTTTTACAAATAATTTATTAAATTTTCGCGCTCTAAGTGGTGCGATTTGTAATTTATGATTTCTGAGTTGAAATCTGTGCGAATTATTAAAAAATATAAAATTATTAAAAAAGCAAAAATGTGTTTTTTAGGTGAATTACGGGATACCGTTATACAGACCGCCAACAAACATCCCAATTCGAAAATATCGAAACTTATCTTTTCCTTACACGAAGAGCCAACGCTGGGCAATATTGCGCTGTTGGTGACGGAGCTGGCAGCGCAGAGCACCGGTGACTTCGATTTCCTAATGAGCTACGTAAGTATGAAGACTCTCGTGTAGGTCACGTGTAGATATGTGCTCACATTGACTTTTCTCTACAGTTTCTAGATATGTTCTACGATTTAATTTTAACCTCCAACGAAGATGTGTTAAACGAAGCTGGTCTTTTGATTTACAATGCAACCAAAGTAATTTCGCGGGCCGAGGACAACATCTTCGAAAGAGCGGGAGCACAGCTCAACTCACTGATAAGCAATGCCGGCGAAGCAGACGCTGCTAAAGCCAACGGGTATGTTACATATATAAATATATATATATATTTTTTTTTTGCAATAAAAACAGAGCACGTTTTTATTTAAATCAAGTTTAAAATAATTAATTAACGGAGTTTTTGTTGTTAAAGCAAATTGTTTACTTCTTGGTTTTATTCGAGCAATTTTTGTTTTTGTCCGCTTTCTGTGTATTTTCGGTTTATTTGTTTTTTAATGCTTTGCTTTTTTTTTTATTTTAAAAATTCGGTAAAAATTGTTTACTTTAAACACTCATTTCCTTTTTTTTTTTGTATTTATTTTGCATTTTTTTATGCTTAAAATTAAACAAAAACGCGAGAGTAAAAAAGTTATGTCACATTTAGAACAATATTTAACTATACTTTATCTTTATATGTATTGCATGCAATACATATAAACTTTGTTAATAACGATTTATAAAGATATATATATTATGTATAGTTTATTAGATTAAGTTGCTTTATCAATATAAGTTTACACTGTCTGTTTGCTTAGTGTTATTATAATTAGGTGAACGAACACATACCATCTTAACAGAATCAATTATGAAAGGCAAGCAATAACCCCAGAGCCCCAGAAAAATTTAAATAATCTTAGTCAAGAGGATAACATTTGACAGACACAAAATGTAGTTATAACCAAATCCATAGAATTAAGAACAATTACTTCTTATCAGGTTATAGAAAACCGGCGCAGTTTTAGTTGTATTGATTCGCTGTATTGATTATACTTGATCTTAGTGAATATCATAATTATGATTTTGTAAGGATTGAGATTATAGTATTTAATCAGATTATCACAGTGAACCAATACATTGAAAGTGTGGTTCCAAGAATGACTGAGTCTACGTCCCGGACCCACTCGTCAACATCGACGATCAAGTGCCATGCACCACCCATAAATGATTTTACAAGCAGACCCCAGCGGATTACAACAGTTAAAGTGTGATGTTTTTATAGAAAACGTTGACTAGCGATAGTTCTATCATAACTGGTTACTACTACTACTTTTGATATCTGCCAAATGATATCATCTACTTGACCAAAATGATTGAAGTTGTATAAAACCATTATATTATACCAGTTTTTTCATTTGATGAAAGAATTTTATGTTTACTTTAGCCAATTATAAAAAAGTGAAAATAAAAGATACTTACGATTGGGATTGATTAAAATTTTATTACAACATATAGCTTGGACAACGTCATTAACTGTAAAGTATAGTAGTATCATTACGTCCTTCTTTAGACAATTTATACTATATTGAAACCTTTTGTGATAATTTTTGACGACTATAACTTGACAGCCATAACTTGATTGATATTCGTTTAGAAAGGATCGAAAGTTTAAGAATTGTTCACTTAAACACAATAATTTCGGGTTACTTCACAAAAAAACTTCATCAATAATAAATTATATACTTATGATGGCCAAGTTAATTCACATAACCAAAACGTTTAATTAGATATCAGGCAATTTCTGCGTCCTGTTAAAACAACATGTCTTCTATAGTTATATCTTTAATTACACCTCAAAAAATAGATGATAATAATATGGCTGTAGGAGTCAGAAATAAGAGTTTAGTCATACCTTTCTCATTTTTAATAAAATATAGTTCTTAAACACAAACCAAATGCCACAAAATACAGTACTTTTTATCAAGACAATCGTCATTTAAAAGAAAGTTAAATTCTATCATAATATCACACTAAACACCACATATTTTTGTCGAAAGATGTTGTATTCGATAGTTGCTTGTGAATTTTATTGTCCAAGATCCGAAAACTTTGTTTATTGACATATTCTTCATCCACCAAGTGAAAAATGAGTCTCATCATTAAAGATGATGCTGTAGTATATTTCTACAGTTTTAACATGTTCAGTGTTTGTTAAACGATTCATATGTGATATGGCAAATAAATTAGTGTCTATGGGTTTATGTTTGACAAATGTTATTCAAACAGTGTGGCCAAATTAGCAACACGAATTGCTTAAGCCTTTATTACAGAAAGGGTTAATAGCAACATTAAGCTATTTCTTCTTCCTCTTCAAAGTTCTTTGTTGACTTCAAACGTTGGGTAGCATGATCAATTTTCCTAATTAGTGGACAGCGCACCTTGTATAAAAGATCCATAGACGTTCCAACAGAAACCTGATAGAATAACTTCATCTAAATGTAAAACTTGATGCATTTACTGCTATTTTATAGCATACTGAATTATTTATACTGTAATTCTCATGAATCTGTCTAATTGTTGTTTGTAGCCACGATCTTAACAGGATGTCATTCTCTATAGAGACAGGATTCTTTATAACTGTTTGGCTCTCTTCTAAGATAACTGGACCAAAAATTCCTATCCTTATCTGATATTGTCATTCCCCAAAGAGATAAAATTTTGGCTTTCAATAGAAGCGTGTTATGTCTTCAGTACAGTTAGGATCGGTCAGTAGCACAATATATCAGCCATGTCTGCAGTGCTCCGCTCCGCTGAGAGACATTCTATTATCTTATATTTTATTCATTGTATGAAGGTCTCTTTTATATATATCATCATCATTATCAATTTCTGTATCTTCCATTAGATCATAGAACCTCGCTTTATATATATACTATATATTTATTACATATATTTATATTTATATTTATTATTATATTTATTATATTATTATTGATTAAAATACTTAAAAATGTTTTTTAATAATTTTTAACTGGTTTTATTCTCGTTGTTCACAGAAATCCAACAGTCGAAAAACCACCAGCCCGAAAAACAAAGCGAAGCAAAAAGATAATGGCGGAAACTGAGAATCCATTCGAGATGGAACTCTCTTCGAAACCGATTAAATCGCTAACCAGAGAAAAACGGTTTACAGATAGTCAAATTGAACCAACAAAACGTAAGAGTAACATGACTTCAACACCTTATACATATCCGGTGGTGTGGCAAGATGTTAACATAATGGATAAAGACAACACAGAAGATACAGACTTGAAAAGAAACTATAAACTATTTACATATCATATTGAACATAGATACAATACGCTCGTGCCGGATATAAATTTTAGAATTCATTTCAAGGTGAAAGATTACATACAGAAGGAAAAAGGTTTATTAAGTAATCAATTGAAGTCTCCATTGAGAGACTTTGGTAACTGGCAACCACTGTCGGAAGAATGTGTCAATAAATATTTAGACTTAGAAGATTTAACATTTGAAAGAGAAATAACTGGACAGCAAAACGGAGAAGAAACTCGAGAAAAACTCTTAGAACTACTTGATAGTGCAGGAAACGAAGTTACAGCAGAATCAACAACAGCAGCAGATACTGCGACTTCAAACACTACAACTGTGATTATTACAGATGAGAATAATGTACAAACGAGTGAAGTTAACACGTCCTTAGATGCGACTGAAGAACCGAATGAATCTAACACCGATATAGCAGATACCACACATGAAGTTGAAACAGTCAATAAGGAAAATGTAGATGCGAATAGCACAACCATATATAACACTCAAGAGTCTGGATTTGGAGACATGACGACTGAGTCCGATTCTGTCTTAAATTCACTTGTGAACGAAAACGTGGATTCAAGTAATATTAGTCAAAACGTATCTGCTACAAATGATTGCACTGATTCCGGAATTAATAGTGCTTTGGACACCACAGATACAACCAATAAAACTCAAAGTTCAAATGATTGCACCAATTCCGAAATTAATAATACCTTGGATACTACAAATACAACCATAAACAATGATTCTAACGTTGATTTGTGTAGTAGTGTGGCTGATGCAAGTAAGATTTCGTATAATACACAGGAATCAGGTATAGATGTTAGCTTTCCTGATGATGCCAATGGGGAAAATACTGAAACCATAAAAACACAAGAAGTTTCAGAAAATATTGATGATGACGTTCATATGGATGATGACTTAGAAAATACAGACAATGGTAAAGATAATATAAATTAAGAATTCATATAATTTAATAATTCTTTTCATTGCAGTTAACTTAAATGAAGATCAAGCTGTTGTGCCTGGTGTCGATAGTTCGGCAACGAATACGGCATTTCCCCCAAACAAGGAAAACATAACCATAACTGTAGATGACAGTATAAAAAATCTGCTGAACGCCCCTCAAGTGGAGCCAGAAGTTTACAACTTGCCGAACAAAACAACGGAACCTGTTCAAGAAATAAAATTAAATATTTTCAAGTTTAAAGAAAAGATTATAAGAAAAAGGGTTTTATTTCGATTAGGTCCTGATTTTGATTTATTTATTAAAGCAGTAAGTATTTTACTGTATAACATAATCAATCAATTATGTTAATCAATATTTTCAACATTTATTTTTAGCGTACACTCAAACGGCAGCGTGGGGAAAATCCAGCCGAAACTCGCAGTACAAAACTTTTAAAACAAGCCTTATCACGGAGCCCGACTTGGTCTCTTCAATTAGGTTTGTTAAACGAATATATATATTTTTTTTAATATAATAAAACAAAAAAAAATTAATTTAAAGATTCCGATTTTCTTGGATTCGAGGAACTACCAGCAATAAAAACAAAAGAAAGAAATTTCAGTAAAGATTCAGGAACGGGTACGGATCTTAACATTAGTGACGACGAATTTTTGGATACAGAAGATAATCATTTGTTTGGATTAGAGACAATAGAAGAAGTAAACGAAGATTTAGAAATGAGAGAAACTGACCTTTGTTCAAATGAATTGTCGTCCATAACCGCACCGACAAATCCCCCCATTAACTGTGATCAGAATTCAGGAAATGACCGCGCTCTAAGTGGTGAAAATAACACCACTACAATGGAGTCAATAGTGGATGAACCCTCGACTAGTGATAATCATAATGCAAATTCAACAGAACCAATCGTGGATATGGCTAGAGGCGATAATAATGCAAGTATAGCTGAGAACACTATGGATGTACCTGTACAGGATAAGGAAAATGATGCAAGTGCAAATGACGTTACTGCTGCTGTTGAATCTAATAACAGAGAAGAGAATAATGAATGCACAACAACGGAAAATATCGCTCGTGCAACAAATGCTGATAACAATGATGTAATGAATGAGTTAGACAATGATGTTAGTGATACAGAATTCATTAATTTTGATAACATGTTAGAAGAGGATGATAATGATGATGATGATGAAGATGGAGATAATGTAGACGATCTAGTAAAAAAAGTAAAATAACATTAATTAATTTAGAAATTTACTTATTGTTTATTTATTGACTTATTATTTATTAGACAAGAAGATGGCATAAAAAGTTACGACCTATGCTGGCAGAAGCTCATGCTAGAAGTACCTTTGATGTTTATGAATTAGGTACTGAGATAATCAATAAAATACTGGAAGTTGAAAGCAAGAACAGGGTGTGTACATTTCAAGATATAATGGAAGGCAAGGATTGGTCATATGTTGCGCGATATATTTTAGCCGCATTATTGTTGGTAAGTTTTTTGTTTCGTTTAGTTTACACATTAAAAAATTCAATGGTTTTAATGTTTGAAAAAGGTTATCCTTTAGATTGTGATTTAAACAAAACAAACTGCTCAAATATTTTGGGTGCTGGTTTGTATCTGGTGCTCGATTATTTGCTATTATGTGCGTGAATAAAGTGAAACATTATTTAAAATACTTTATTTTATGCGAGCATTTGCTTGTATAGTCCCTATTGGGAAGTGTGGGCGGTGTTAGTTGCCAATTTTTTTCCATTTCTATCTAGACTAATTTCAATTAAATCCCACACACCTCTCAAACTTTCTTTAACGCAAATAACTCTAATTTTTTCCACTTCCTTCCACATCCTAACCCATGTATTCCTGTAATTATCTTCTCCTACAATATAGTATTGGTTTTTTTTTTCTTTCCTGCCCAAAATATATTGTTACTTATATGAAATATTAAGAAAGTAGTATTGTAATAAATTACCAATGTGATCTGAATAGTGATATTATATATCTTACCTGAGCTGAAAACTATTGTTACTTATAGCAAATAATAAATAATGGTATAGGTCAAAATAATTATATATTAAGTTTTTCGTTTAAACTAAATATTGCTCAGTGATTTTATTATATTAATTTTTGCAGATAAATCAACGAAATATCGATATAATTAAAGATGGGCAAGCCGTGCTAGAAGATCGTGTATTTATGTCTCATGAAATATCATTCAAGTTGTTAACTACAAAACGACATGAAGTTGCAATTGAGGATAACATTGGAATGGTTGGCAAAACCAAACAAAATATCGTACAAGAATTACCACACAAACGCATTGAACCAAAACCAGTTAAAGTGCTTAAAGCATTAACGCCACGTACAGTGGAACCATCCACTTCGACTCCAATACCTACTAAAAGAATTTTACTTGAAGGTAATAAGAAAGCTCCCTCGTCGACACAGTTAAAACGTAACAATATCGTTACAATCAACGCGTCGACTGCTAAACGAGTTTGTATTGATACTGAATTAAAAACACTTTTAAACGACGTAACGCCTATTAGAAATATTAGCAAAATACGTCGTTTGACTATGGATATAGATTCTGGTGTCCATACACTAGACGAAACCAGTAGTCAGAGTAATTGCTAGTATTAAAATATTGCATTTCCGTAATGCAATTAATCCGTAATGGTACATGTTTGTGATTAGTTTTAAGCGATATGTATGTATAATGTATATAGTATAGTATATATATAGTATAACATAAAATTGTAAAAAGTACAAAAGACTAATAATCGGATTTACCGATTTTTGGTTTACATCGATTTATGCAAATAATGTAAATTGTTGTAGCAATTAAAAGAAAAGGTGGAGATTGATACAATCTACAAAGTACAATTGACAATACTACTTAAAACCATATTTTCATTATTATTTTTTTCAAATTCGAATTTAAACAAAACATTCTGAACAATTTATTAACTAGAAGTCTTATGTATTGACATGTCAAAATAATATGATTCGTATTCAAAATGTAATTCCACATGATCTGAAATTTATTCTTAATACACATCAAATTGTTATCTTCACAAAAAATCTATAAAGTGCGATATAGAAACGTTTTCAATTAGTTAATTTATGTATATTGAAATGAAAAAGTATCTTATTGACCAGCGACCCCCAAATTTGTTCGTTCCGGTTTATGTTTCGATTCAATTAAAAGTATTATCGGTGCGATTCTGAAATTTGTTTCGACAAAAATAACAACCATTTTTTTCGGTTCAGTTCCCAGTGAATACTTTTAATGTTTTTATATTACAAATAGTTTTTTTTATCATAATTAAAATCATTTTATTCATAGTTAACGAATTTATTCATATAAAAAAAAATTATCTACGTTTATAAATAAAAAACGATTTAGAACTTTTAAGTTTAACATTTAAAAGCTAATGGATGTGATTAAATAGGTACCGAACTGTACGCTGCAGAACAGAAATAAATCCATAAACAGGTTCGGTTCCGTTTTTCACTCCGGTAAATATAGTTGTTAGTTTACGATTGTATTCCGGATAAAAGCCATGATATCCAATATCATATTTAAATAATGTAAATAATAAAAATTAAAATGTTCAAGATTTGAAGAATATTTTAGATATATTTCAGTTTCATACCTTTTCCATTTATTTAAACTTAAGATTATTCTATTCCTATGGTGTCCTCCGTTTCCCTCTTAACCTCGAATCAATAACAAATTTTTTTATAAAAACCTTTTTCGTTTTAAAATTGAAATTTATTTTAATTATTATTACTTTAATTATATTACATTATATTATATTATAACTATTACTTTAATATAATCAAACAAAAAAACAATATTTTACTAAAACCCACCTTAACAATAATTCTAAAGAATATTTGCCATATTGTTTTGCTGTCATATTTTTGAAATATGATTCATATAATCTCATTAATAATATACTGATTTTTACAGTATAAATTTATGTAAATTATAGTAAAATTAAAAAAAAACAACTGAAACAGAAAACATAAATAATAACCACTGATTTCTTTACAGAAGAGCAATAACCAATGAGCATCACCAACTGAGTAGTGTAACCGTTTTGCTTTTGTTTTTTTTTATTTATTATTTTTATTTTTGCAAAATTCTTATGTTCCATTTCTAACAGTCAAATTTATTTTTATTTCTTTGTATAATTAATTTTTTTTATATTTTTTTTATAATATTTTAATATATTTTTACGTTAAGTACTTAACTTTTTTCTATTCAACTAATTTTGTTATTTTATTTTGCACTTTTTTTTCTTTTTTGCACTTTTTATTTTATTTTTTGTTAGATATAATTATAAATATACGTTAATCTTTTTATTTTTTTTCTATTTAAGTTTACAAACATTTATTTAATTTATTAGTTTTATAGCAAATTTTTTTTATGTCAAGTTATTAAATAAGCAATTATTTTTCATACAATTTATATTTACTATTTTTCCAATTTCTTTATAATTTTTATTTATATATTTTTTGCATGGTATGTTACATATATACACCCATTATTTTCTATATAATATTTAATATTTTTTGTTTGTTTAATTTTTTGGAACATTATTATTATAATTTTTGTTTTTCGATTAAGTTCAATACTTTTTTTTTGATTATAAATTGTTTACATTTACTCATGATATATTCTTTTTCATTTTTATAAATTTAGTTTCAATTGAATTTTTTTTTAAATATTGTTTCCATTTTTTTTTTAATAATTATACTTTATTTTTCATTACTACTACTATTTTATTGTATGCTTTTATTTTATTTTATATTGCAGTGATAAAAATAATATTCTTGTACTTTTATTACTTATAAACTAATTTTTTTATGTGTACTGTTTAAAATTTAATATATTAAAATTTTAAATGCTTTCACAAAACTGTGTACTTGAAACTTTAATACCGAAAATTTTCAGTTTTTTTTACTAATAGAACAATGAATTTAAGTAAACCTTGTCATATTATATTATTATAATATTTTATTTAAGAAATTAATATTTATATTAAAATTACAAGATGCTTATCATATAAATTAATTAATTAATCATATTAATAAATGTATGCATAAATCTATTTTTAATTTTATAATATTATTCCTTATATCAATTATATAATTTATTTAAATTAGTATTTTAATTTGTTACTGTTGTTACTCTACATAATAAGATTGCCTTATCAATCTATTTTAGTAAAAATTTATTTATTTATTCATTAATTTATTGTTAATTTTTTTCTTAATGGCTAAAATGTATTTTTTTTATAAATTTTTTTTAAAAGGTACATAAATTATTAAAATTTAAAAATGTTTCTTTATAGTATTCATTTTTTTTAATATTTTGACTATATGACTATAAAATATAGTAGAAGTATCAGGAAAAAACATTATTTTTAAACATAAGAAAAATTTTTCTATTTTTTTTTTATGTAAATAATGAAAAGAATTTATTAAAAAAAAATTTATTGACAAATTAGTTTGTTTCAATAAATATATTTTCTTAATTATAAATATTTTAAAAATAATTTTAAGAGTTTTTTTTTGATATAATTAAATTTATTATTATTAAATATAAATTTATATCACTTTAATTTATTCTATGACATAACATTGTTTTAATATTTAATTATTTTGAATTTTATATTTTTAAGGCTATATTTATAGATCTGTAATATAAATTAACTATTTTGTATAAAAAATTTTTTAAAACTGTATTGTATTTCAATTTCATACATCGTTAGTTATGAACCTTTTGTGTATTATTTTTTTAATATTTTCTATTTGTTTTTCTATTTATTGCATTAAAAATAATTTTTTTTGAGTTATTTTGCTTTTTTTTTTGTTTGCTTATAATATTTTATTTATTTTTGAGTTATTTTGTTTATAATATTTCTATATATTTTTAATTGTTAAGTTATTTTGCTTATAATATTCCATTTATTTTTGCGTTATTTTCCTTGTAATATTCTATTTATAGTTTTATTTTTGAGTTATTTTGATCCTTTATTTTTTGTTTAAATTACTTTAATTTATATTTTTTTTATAAATGTATAAAGAAATGTATATTAATGTTCTTGCTTTATACTGCTCTTTTATAACTTTATATATATATATTACTTTATTATTGTTTTTGTTTTTTTTACTTTTGTTTTGTATTTTCATACATATATTTATTTTTTTTTAAATAAATTTGATTAAAATATTTAAAATAAATTTTTACATGCTTTTTTGATTTTTTTTTTTGTTTTCCTTTTAATTACAAAATAAATATTTGTGTATTGTTTTATATTTTTATAATTTTTTATAATTATTTTTGTAGTTATGTTGTCTTTAGGATATAAATTACATTTTTTTTTTACTTGTTACATTACTCAGTATAAATTTTTATAACAATTTTATTTTTACTATTTAATTGTTTTGAGTTTACTTTTAAGCTACGAGTATAAAGTGTTTGTGGTTGGTGTTATTTACATAAAAAATAACTATACTTTATTTAAAAATTTGCAAAAAGTTTTTAAATATTTTTTAACAAAGTTAATTTTATTCGAATAATAAGTAACATTTATTAATATATACATAAAAGTATTTTATATTAAATACAAATAAAACATTTTTATATTTTAAAAATATTAATTATAAACAATCTAATTATTTGTCGAAGAATTTATTTAAACATTGCATTGCACTTATTTAATTATAAAAGTTATTTTGGTTTTTTTTTTTTTTTTAAGTTTGATATAATATTGTATAAAAATTTAATCAAAAATATTTGGTGAATTTTTACAATAAACATTTAAAAAGGAATTATTTATATTTAACATTTAAAAATTAAGCTTAATTAGTTAAGTTAATTAGATAATTTAGGATAACATATGCATATATGAGTAAAATGTAACACTGCCTTTAGAACCGTATTTCAATTCATGATGCTCGATTTATTATATATATTACAATAATAAGAGGTTATAATAGTTCTAATATATATGGTATAGTGTACATGTAAAATTAAATAACATCATAATTTGTTGAGTGAAATATGAACATTTTTCATAATTCGTTACAGCAAATATTTGTGCACGTCTAGTGTTGACTACATTTAAGCTTAGCTACTATTTCCATAAATGAAAGAGAAATGTGATTTCCCTTTTGTTTAATGAAATTGTATGACTTTGATGTAGAATATATATAAACACTAGCACTATACAAACCCTTAAGTTTTCTTAAATGTTCCTTAGGTAGTTTATCCCAAATTAATAATAATGAATTAAATACTTCTTGTTTTACAAATTCAAATCATACAATATATAGTTATAACTTTAAGTGCTTTAATACGACCCAAAATAAATATAATTTAAAATCATCTTCAATATATATTCTGTAGTCTACTTATATCTGTATAATAAAGAAT